GCCTGGGCTCCGCCTCTGCAGCCGGCTTCCCTGCTCCGTTACCTGGGAGCTCTGCCACACTCAGGCACCCCCGGTCTTTCTGTGACCCCGAGGGTCCTGAGACCACACTGTCCTGAGGGTTCCACCCCCCGCTTAGCCACTGGAGTGACGTCCCTCAGCAGAGCCGACTTCTGAACGTTCCGATTTTGTGCTCCGGGGCTCTATCACTTGCCAGAAGCAGCCGACGGAAGCCCCCTCCCCCGCCATCTGTCCTCCCAAATACCGCCTCAGATTCACTTCTCCGCACCTCCTACCTTCCAGAAAGTGTTCGTTTTCTGTTCAGAGAGTTGCTGCTATTCTTTTCTTCGATCTCCTGTTGAGTTCGTAGGTGTTCAGAATGGTTTGATCCCTATCCAGCTGAATTCCTGGGACCAGACGAAATTTAGGTCTCCTACTCCTCTGCCATCTTGCTTCTCCTGGTTGATGTATTTTGTAAGCAGAAATGTGTCATTTTTCTCTAGTCCAACATATTCTCTCACGATTCTGCCTTTGATAGCATGCTAACTTTGGAAGGTTTTCCTTATCTCAGAATCTAAGTATATTAACCCATATCTTGTTAATATTTGTGGGTTTGTATTTCATTACCTTTAAATCTTTAATCCGTATGGTTTAAGAGAAGATTTAACCTGTTTTTCCCCAAAGTTTAACCAGTTGTCCCAACATTTAGTGAATTATAATTATTTTAGTGACTAATAATTTAGTGAATAATAATTATGAATACATTTTGATATTGGCAAGGCAAATCCCTTCATCTTGAATTTAAAAAAATCTGACTATTCTGCATTTTCTAAAAAAAAAATAATCATATTATTTGCCAAGTGAAAGAAAAATCCCATTAGAATTTTTATTATAATCGAATAAATTTACATATTATTTTAACTGGGAAGAATTGATGCTTCTGGGGCGCCTGGGTGGCTCAGTTGGTTAAGTGACTGCCTTCGGCTCAGGTCATGATCCTGGAGTCCCTGGATCAAGTCCCGCATCGGGCTCCCTGCTTGGCAGGGAGTCTGCTTCTCCCTCTGCCCCTCCCCCCTCTCATGTGCTCTCTCTCTCATTCTCTCTCTCTCAAATAAATAAAATCTTTAAAAAAAAAAAATTGATGCTTCTAATTTTGAATTTTGCCATACGGGAAGAGGACACATACTTTCCAAATTAGTGATATTCAAACTGAATTAGTTTTGTGTTTGACATGTTTAAGATCTGTGAGGCAAAGATAGCTGGAAGTATTAGAACTTAGGTTTTAAACTGGTATCAGAGGGAAAAGACCACATTGTGGAAGAGAAGGGGAGCATCCATTTCAGAGCATTAGAAGGTGGGAAGGGCATTCTCCTAACTAGCTCCCTGGCCTCCTGCTGGGATTGAACCACCTCAGGGATTCCATCAAATTGAGCCCAAGTGCATGCCAGTGTAATTTTTGGCCATTGCCTTCAGTCTCCAGAAAAGAAACTAAATTTCCTTTCTGTAGTACTTGACTACCCTTGAGATAATTAAAAACTGGTAAGGACTCTTATCCTGACTAAATGTCCTTCAAAAGCAGTCCCCCATGTTTTCCTGCATTCTTGTTACCTGTCGTACATTAGTTGATCAGCATCTCTCCCCTCTCAGAACTAAGATGATATCATGTGAAATAGTGCATAGAAATAAAGGTGGGAAAAGAAGCTAGGTTATAAAACAACAGAATGTTAGATGCCTTCTGACGAAGCTGGGCCCTATCCCCATACCTTGGTTTCTATTTTCTTTTTTTGTCCTTTTTTTTTCCTTAAATTTCCAAGTATTTGTTCACCAGTAAGTTGACAGGTAATTTAAATGATAATGTTCTTTCTACTTTATCACTTTACCAATATAATTTGAGAAATATTAAATTAGAGAAATCAGTTTTTTTAAGCAGACATTAGTACTTCCAGAATAAAATGTGGCTTCACTTAAAGTTGAGAAAACATTTACTGGGCTCTTAGGAGCAACTAGAAATAAAACATGGAAGTTATTAACGGTAGACTACTCACCAGAGAGTATTTCCCTGGTGAGTGCTCCTTCTGTTGTCCAGTTGACCTTGGCTCTGACTGTAGGTGAGTTCAGATATTCGGTTCTGTATTTAAGGAAGTATTCTATTATTGTAAGAAACCTCTGTGCTGAAATTATTTTGTGCTACTCTTCCTCGTAATACCAGTCTGTCTGGTGTTGAATACCTATTGCTCTTCCAAGATAGCTTAACCTCTCTGTGCCTGTGCTTAATCATCTGTAAAATGAGCATAATAACATTGGGTCACATACATAATCCAGTAAATGTTTGCGGTTTTCATGGGCAGTGACGCTGACCCCATCATCATGGTCATTGTCATAGCTCTCTGGTTTACTTTTAAAAACATGCATTAATACCACCAACTAAGACTGTCTTTTCTTTATAGTCCCATGCTAATCAGAGTAATGTTGGTTAGGCTAATACTAGAAAACCTCTCATACCATATACGTGAGGAAGATGTTTGTATATTTTTCATGACTTAATGGAATGGGTTGCCATTTTTACATGTAAGTTTTATTTAAATTTTTCTGTTATTTGTTTCTTGAATTATAGCCTCTAAGTGGTCACAGTGTTTATGTAATTAAAATTTAGAGTATGCTAAGTGACTAACATTGGTTTTGTTGCTTCGTCGTAGAAACGGGCAGGAGTGACCTTCAACGTGGAGAACCCATCTCCTAGCGCACATCCTGATGACCACATCACGGACAGAGCTTTGGCTTGAATTAAAGGACTTTTTTTTTTTTTTAACTTCAGCACATAGTTTGTATATTTGAAAATAATGTACATTCTTTTACCTTTCGGGTTCTGATTTGATAGACAAAGGGCTAAGATATTTTATTCTTAAAGAGACATTTTGAATAGTCGTAATATATTTATCTACTAAAATATATCATTTATGATAAACAGTATGTTGCTTTGGACTATTACAGAGACCACTAGGAAGGCACTCTAAAGGGGACAGGTGGGGGGTGTTTCTGAATAGTAGACTAGCTGCTACAGTACTGTAAAAACAGGATTAATTTTGTTTCTCAAGGATCTTTAGACTGAGCAACTGAATTTAGACTAGTAGAAATGGAATTGTATAATTCAGTGATCACGAGTTTTCCCTGGAGGAAAGACTTTTCTAGAACATTAAACCTGTGAATGAGATGGGAGAAATTTATAGCTTTCTTGAACCTCCATGTCATCATCTAGAGACTTTGAAACCTAAGAAGACTTCTTAATTGTTTTCTCTTCGGAATTATAGGAAAAGCACTAGATGACTTTAGGATTTGCATTTTTCCTTTTTAATTCCTAATTTCATTTGACACCTTAAAGGAGAGGGAAATTTATCCATTTTTTTCTACAAATAAAGGAAGCTAAGATTCTGCATCACACATGAGCAATAAATTTTTCATTGCCTTAAGGAAATCGAGTAGGCAGACTTTTTTTTGTAAATGATGAATGTGTTGGTTCCAACTACAATTTAATCTTTACAATTAAAAAGGTGATAGATGGAGAATTTTGATTGTCATTGTTACAAAATAAGCAACCAGTTTTCCTGATTGATTTAAAGCAGACATAATGGTCATGACCTTGTGTCATCATCTATCCTTTTTAAAATCTTGGCTGTTCTTATAGGTGAAAGGATCAGGTTAATGTAAAGCTTTTGGTGACCGTGCTCTTAGGTTTTCTAAAATGATTAAGCATACACATACTCTTCTCTCCCTTCTTGTAGGTGGAGGTTGAGGAGGGTGAGGGAAAGTTATTTCTTAACTTGAAATTGTTGTCCTTTGTTGCTTCTAAGCTAGTTGCTGTGTATATCTTTATTTTGTGAGTAAAAATAAATGTCTATTGAGAAAAATAGAATTTTAAAAAATTTAAAGAATTTATTCTTACAGCTGCATCTAAATTGTGTATAGCTTATTTTTTTCAAACTATTTGTTGCACCTGGATTCTAGCCACTCATAGTGAAACACTTGGTGAGTTTTACTTTACCTTTTTTTTTTTTTTCCACTTTACTGAAGTAAGCTCTGGCCAGATTCAATATGAGGAGCTACTGAATGAAACAAAATTTGTTTTACTTTGAGCTCTCATGTTAACAGCCTCAGAGTAGGTTTCCATAATAGCCATTATCTTTGAAATCTGCCTTCTATGGTTCTTTGAGAATAGGAAAGTATGTCCTTGATTCTGTACCAAGTAGATTTTTGTGCTCTTTGTATTTTAAGATACATACTTGGGAGAAATACTTTAATAATTCTTTACAGTATCCATTGAAGCAGACTTTTAAAAAGAATACTATGACAGATCAAGGTAAATTGTTTTTGATAATTACAGAAGTGTGATTTCTTAATTAGCAGCTATCAGACATAGCTTTCCTTAATTAAAAAGTTTGAACACTAAACTATAAATAGAAGAGATTGGAAGAATTGTAGTGGTCTGGTCTCATCTCTAGAAACATCTCTTCCATAGCAGAGAAAGGCATTATCAAGAGAAAATAGAAAACTGCAACACTTTGAAAGTTTCCTTTGCTTTTTTTTTTTAGATAGAAATAAATATGATAGAGAAGGGTCAAATATTAGCAGAATTTTTGCTGAGACATAAAATTGATGAAATGCTACTCAGAATAATGGGGAATGTAAGGAAGGAAGAGTAAACCAGAGAGGTTTGGTTAAGGTTAGTCATACTACTTATGGCAGTTGTCATTTTCCTTCTAACAATTGTCATAAGAGCCATTTGTTTACAAATAGTGTAGAAACAATATATGTATTTTTAACTCTCAAAGTCACAGGCGGTGTGTGAAGGAAGCAATTTGGCCCTGAACTTCACTTGAAGCACTCTGTCGTCCGCTGCCTGCTGGTGCTGCTTCTGGGTTTCCCACCAGAAAACCACAAAGGCCAGGAGAGACAAAAACACAGCACCTTCGGCAGGTAAACCTTGCTTGCTGACTTTTTGGGGATCTTCAGTATATAAAACCTTTCCTGAGAGATTGTTCCCTGCAGTCACTGAGGAGTGATGACAATAAAAGGCCGAATTGCAGTGTGCCCATCAGCAGTTTGCTCTCTGTGGGGTGCACAATGACAAAATCTCCTGAAGCGAACCACTGGTCTGACCTCAGTAACATCAGGATTGAAGCTTTGCACTTGGGCCGGCTTTCCAAGAGGGGTCTTCCCAAAAAGAGCTCAGATCTTTTTAAGAAAAAATAATCAGTGAATCTGAGACATCGGGCCTTAAATGAGTAGTAAATACCTTTCTAGATAGTTTACAGTATACTTGCTGAATCAAGGACTGCTAGAACCATAAAACAATAATAGACATTCAAGAACAGGTGTGTTCCCACTTGACTGAAATACCTAGTGTAACCAAATTCCCCAAGAGGATAGCTTAATTGGCAAGTCTCTTCTTTTGAGAACATTAAAGTTTATTTGCTCAGTGAAAGCTGAGATTAAGTCAGTATGTGTCTGTTACTAACTAGAACTTGAGGTAATTACATGTTTGGTCAAAAGCAGTTTCTTTGAGCTCAGCGCAAACCCTGTTTTGTGATTTACAAAGCACAGGGTGCTGGCCTGAACCAAAGTGAGTCTTGTGTGTAACATACGCCTTGCTTCTGTGATGCAACAACCAATTAGAAAAGCCACCTACGCCTTTCCCAGTTAATTTTGGTTTTTGAAGTTTTAAAAAGACAAGCATTTCACTTTAAAAATGCTAACGTGTAATCCTAGTTACTAAAGTGAAATTTCTATAATGTCCTTATCAGTAGCCATGCAGCTAGAGATTTGCCCTTATCCTAAGAGCAAAGTATAAAATAAGTTATAAATTGAAAAAGGTAGGTGCATCACATTAATTTAGGAATAAAAGTCAGTGTCTTCTTTTTGTTGAGGTGTAAGCTTGTATATTATGGGCTGAGAAACCTGTGAATCCCAGTACTTACTGTGGGCTTGACTACGTAGGTATTGGATCCCAGGATTGTGCTTTTGGAAGCATCTTAAGGGATTTCCCGATTAGAACAGTAGTGATTGCATAAAAAGAACAGATTAAAGTGAAACCAGCAAAATGTTCTTCCCATGCATTAATTTTCCAGATATCCTTAAAATGTTCTCTTAAAGTGCTATTACTCAAAGTATTTAAAACAGGTACATGAGGAACGCCTGGGTGGCTCAGTTGGTTAAGTGTCCGATTCTTGAGCTCAGCTCAGGTCTCAATCTCAAAGTTGTAAGTTCAAGCCCCATGTTGGGCTCCACACCAGGTATGGAGCCTACTTTAAAAAAAAATTTTTTTTTTTAAATAGGTACGGGATCCATTGTTCTTCCTGGGAATCTGAATCATTACAGAATGTATTAAGTAGTGGTACATGCTGCTTAAAAAGTTTGTGGAAATGGGGGCGCCTGGGCTGCTCAGTCAGTTGAGTGTCTGACTCTTTATTTCAGCTCAGGTCATGATCTCAGGGTGTGAAATCTAGCCCCATGTTGGGCTCCCTGTTCAGCGGGGAGTCTGCGTAAGACTTTCTGTCCCTCCCCTGCTCTCTCTCTGAAAATAAATCTTCAAAGAAAAAAAAAATTTGTGAAAATGTGTACTGTGTAAGGTAAGTGATAACCATTTCTTTAAAGTTGTTTAAATGTGTAAACACTGTTAAAGAGAATTATTTGAAATAGTTATAGCTTAGGATCCCAATTATTTTCTTTTTTGAAGTATCTTTTCTTCCTACTCTAAGATGTAACTTAGTGCTGTCTTCTTAACAGATGAGTTGAAGATTTTACAGCTAGAAACTGGAACTAGAAAATCCAGAGAATTCAAGATGTGTCATGGCAGTATATTGAGCTACACTTAAAAGGTGATTAGTTACTGAGTCCCAGGATTATAACTTATTTCAGGTAAACTTTCTTCTACTTTTAAACATGTTTAATGAAGAACCTTTTGCTGGTGTTGTAAATGTAAACCTGACTTTTCTTTTTTATAAAATGTTCCCTAAATATTACTACTGTCCTTTGTAAGTTACTTTAAAATCTTCCCTCTTTCAAGTAAACACCAATAGTGTGATCGTGAAATGATTAGCAGTAGTCAGCCTCTTTATTTGCAGAGTCCATGTTTGTAAATTTATCTGTAACCCCAAAATCAGGATGTGTGGTACTTTTGCAGTTGTGGTGGACACGTACCCATACAATGTGTTGAAAATTTTGAGGCACCAGACACACTTTTCCAGTTGAAGTTGAACAAGAGGACACTTTGCCTTCTTGTTTCAGCTCAAACTGTCAACATTGTGTCCTTTTCCACAGTCTATTTAGTGCCATGTTTTCCAAAATTTTGTACCTTGGTGATTTCACAGTTTAAAATGGCCCCCAAGCATAGTGTTGTCTACTGTTCTCAGCACATGAAGGCTGTGAAGTGCCTTATAGAGAAAATACATGTTAGATAAGCTTTGTTCAGGCATGAGTTACAGTGCTATTGGCCATGCGTTCCATGTTATCAGAGAATCAATAGGTTCTTGAGCCTGAATTTGGGTTGCTTCCACAGTGGTCCAAACTTTGCCATTCCAAAAAGTATCTGCATAATGAATGGTTTCTTTTCCCAAACCGAGTATGTAAAACAGTGATATCTTGGGTATGGACAGAAATCAAGGTTGCTAGAATTTTGGATGTTTAAAGGCATTCCTCTTGTTACACTGGCTTGGGTTCTTCTTTCCTTTAAGCAAATATATTTACAAACCCCTTATTTTCATAAAAATAGCTAAGATACAAAATCTCCTATAAATCTAGTGGGAGTACTGCTCTTTTGCCAATATTACAGGATTGGAACTTACTTGTACTCATTTTAAAGGACACCAAGCCTAGTGGTTTTAACTTTTGCTGAGGGTTAAACTGGAAGGTAATTCTTGTTGAATAGATTTCCCTATAAAGAATATGCTTTGGAAGTACCTCAATAAATGAGGAATTTTTCATGGTTTCTTCAAGTAAAAAAACACATCAGGTAATACAGTTCATAAAAAACTTTAATGTAAGGCACTGTTGTCCGAAGTTAAGTGAGGGGTAACAGCCCACATGATGCCACCTTGTTCTCCTATGTCGCAAACAGGCCATGTGCCCCACCACAGCAGGTACAGTTCCCGCTCAGGAAGAGGTTTTACATGACAGTTCCTCAGTGGTGATATTATCTCCCAAAGCATGGACTAAAATACTCTTCCTTAAAACAAAAAAATAACTATAACTGAAGAACTAACATCTCAAGAGGAAAAAAAAACTATACCAGCTATTGTCTCAAAAAAGGGTTTCTAAGAGTTCCCATGTTTATAAGAGGTCCAAGAAATGCATGTATTTTGTTGTCTATTAAGTCCCCATGACATGAAAGGATCAAGTTAGAAGCATGTCCTTGGTTCAGACTGTGCTTAATGAGAAATTAGGGGCTATACGCACAAATGGGTTCAAGGGCCAAGCTTCTGTTTGCCACTTGATTCAAAAACATTCAGCTGATTTCATCTTAAGGGCAGTATGACAGATTCTTAAGCTATGTCTTCATATACTGTCATTAAATACTTTTAATATTAGAACCTTAAGAAAACTGGATTCTTGATTTATCAGTAGCCTGTAACTTGTTTTATCAGTAGCCTGTAACTTGTGTTTTAAAAACAGGCACTCTGCTCTGCAGTGCTAAAGACCTCATCTACTTGTTTGCAGTAACTTTTTGTGGATAACCGTTACTCCTGATCATCTGCAAGACCCACATTTTTCCAAAATCCATCTCAAGGAAAAAGTCCTCCAGGAAAGGAAAAATTTTGCTTTAAGTAGATAAAGTGGTGTTTATATGCATAGGCCAAGCAATCCACTGAAGGTTCTAACAGTTTTAAAAATTAAGTCACAATACAGCTGAACAATTAA